CCCGAGCACTTCCTGTGCCAACACTGCAACAAACAGTTGAGTGAAGACCCGGAGGGATATCACGAGCACAACGACAAGTCCTACTGCCGGCCCTGTTATATCGAGTTGTTTGCCCCGTACTGTCGGGGTTGTAATAAACCGATTGTTGAGAAGATATGTGTGACAGCATTGGACTCCAAATGGCATCCAGACTGTTTTGTGTGCAGAGTATGTATTATTTCTTATTTTTGCTTTGCTTTCAAATATGAGATTTGATTTGAAAGCAAACGAAGCGTATATTCTATGAAATTATATTACTTTTACATAAATATTACGTGAAATACAGAAAACATGAGAAAACAATAAAACATTGACAACATTTTAAATAACATTATCTGATGTTTGCATTGATTACAGGACTGTCACTGTCCTCTCAAAACCGGCAATTACTTCGAGTTTGAAGGCGAGCCCTATTGTGAGGAGCACTACAGATGTAAGATGTGTCCGGATTGTGTGAAACTAAGGAGGGCTCAAAACAAGTACTTCGGACAATCGCCTCAAATTAAATTAGGCGCTTAATAATGAAGAGTATTTATTCTTCGACCAATTGATTCTTAAATAACCATTCATTCAATTTAATTAGTTTTCAATTTTATAATAATATTTTTCATACTAAAATATTTTATATCTTACTATTTGGTTGCATTTTATATTTTTGATATTATTATTAAACAGTTGTGGGTATATTGCTATTAATTATTTTAAAATATCTAATATTTAATAAAATAAATGTAAACTTTTATCTTTGGAAAAAATAAAATATTATTCTTAATTAATTATATGTTGTTGTTTTTTGGTAATTTTATAATTTATTAAAACTAATCTTTGTAAATGCCGCTTTAAAATTAATATTTGATTCTTATTTAAAAATATTAATGACAAATTTTTAATAAAAACATAATTTTTGCTAAGTTTTGTATTCAACCATAAATAAATATTATTACCATTCAATTAGTATTATGTTTCACCAATTATAGGTACAGTAGTATAAATTAAGCTTTCCAGAAGTGTCCATGAGGGTACGAATGGGTATTATTAAGTACTTGTAATCATTTATTAAAAACTAAACACAAATACCATAACACATGTATGATTATAGATTATTAATTACTAATAATGAAAGGGATTATAAAAATTGTACAATAATATAACATTAATTAGGATTGACTCTAAGATTTTTAACTGTAAAAAACATCAATAAATAATATCTGGAACCTCTGGACACCTCTGAACACCTCTGGACACCTGGACACTTAGTTTTCATACTTAGCATACATATCGTATTAATATTTATCAATAACTTATAAACATATTTTCTGACAAAATTGAATCAATGTAATTTGAGTTTCAAATACATCATAAAACAACTCATTAATCATTTAAAGATATAATTATAGTTATTAGTATTGTTAAGATTTAATTGTAAACAACTTGTTATGTTATGAAAATAATACTTTTAAAAAGTTCTTACATAGTTTATATAGTTTTATATATTATAACATAAACAAAAGTATTAAATTTAGAAATAATTTATTATAATATTAAACAGTTAAATAGAGTTTATTACTATTTAATTTATTTATTTAAAATAAATTATTAACAACTTAAAGCTTTAAAATAATTATTTATTTTTTAAACAATATAGAAATTATTGGTGTATGTTATTTGGTTTTAATTGACTTTGACTTATAATATACAGAAACAAAATCTAATTTATTATAATAATATTATATATATTATATAATTAAAATTTTAAATGATTTAAAAGTAAATAATAAAATAATAAGTAAAATATTGCAGGCATCAAATTAAGTAGTACGAAAGTGGTACAGATATTACATGTTAGATTTAAAAATATTAAAAAAAATTCAATTTACTAAAAATAATATTTATTAAATATATGAAATATCTAAATTGCGGCAAATGGTCAACATTGATATGGATTGACATTCGTGTCCTTATGGGTCATATTTGATTTAAAATTAACCCAATAAATGCAGTTTAAATATGATTATTATGGCAACAAAAGAGTGTTCTGTCAAGGTGATTAAAAGTATAAATTAAATAATAATTAGAAAAAATTTTCTTAAAAACAATTAGAATAACAGAATAATTAAAAAATTGCAGATTTTGTGAATAGGAGATCATTTAATCTTAGTTTTCCAGACCAAAATAAAATACGCCAAAACTCGTAATATAATGGTGTATAAAATCATATAAAATAAGTCATAATAGAGAACATCGTTGTCGTAGTCAAAGCTTTGCAGAGCATAGGACGGGTTTTTCTCCAGCATTTCATTGTATAAGTCGAGAGTCTGAGTGGCATTGTCTATGAGACTGGAGTCGTAATCATCGATGCATTTAAGCATCGGTAGAAAATCGCCTCCAAATTCTGCCTTCAATTCTTTCAGAGTAATGGGACCTAACTGTGGACACCTATCAAAGCCATAGATAGTAATCATAAGCGCTTCAAATGCTAATCGAAAATACGAGATATAAGTCAAGGGCCGGAAGTATACAGGAATTGATTTAATTTTAATCAACAGTCCTGTGAATAGAAATAACGGGATGTTAGAGGTGGCGCCAATCACCGTCGAGGCAATGATATTATCAACAAAATAGGCCGACACTAAGAATCCGAAGCCTTGAGTGAGAATAGAGAGTAAAATCATAATAGAAATAAATGTGAAAAATCTCCATAAGTCTAGAATTTGATCAGTTATGATATAGGATCCGATGCAATAAATTATAGGAAATATAAAGTTTGGGGGAATGTCTGCCACACACTTGGCTGCAAAGAATGAGCCCAAAGAGTACCAGCCATTCAAATGCTCTTTCATGAAAACTGATACCTCTAATGGAAATGATAATAGGGTTGGCAATAGGGATAGGAATACCATGAATATGACCGAATAGAATATAAAACCGAAATTAGGATAAGTTGTGTTCTCGGGGTCGAAGGCCTCGAAGTTCTGCAAAGTCCTGATCATCTGAGCCGACGGTTTCTTCAGACAGCCATCATTTGTGCCAATCTTGTTGTCTAAATATAGTACGAAAAGCAGGGCTAACGTGGCGATCACTGATACCAATCTCAATGTATAGAGTTTTGGATCTCTTAATGATATGAGAAAACTTCGTTTCGTCAGAACCCAAGTAGTCATTAATTGCTTCACAAATAAGTGTTGATTTGTTTTTTGAACAATTTTTGATATCTTCACCGAATTCTTATTCTCTTGAGTTTGCTTTTGACAAATGGTTTTGAAATGTTTGGCCAAATTGTCGATCGAGTCGAGGCCGTGGTCACCGCTCGCCACCTCAATGGCAAAGTCGGACGGATTGTGATATTTGGGACAAAATAAGTTGAATTTCGATAGACTATCGACTAATTGAGCGGTGGGTCCGTTATAAATGCACTGACCGTTGAATGATATGATATATAAGTTATCGAAATATGAGAGAACTCTAGCCGTGGGCTGATGTATGGACGCAGCGATTACCATCGGTTTATCACAATTCTTGGACAGATTCTGAAGCATTTGAACGCATTGTATGGTTGACAACGAATCCAATCCACTGGTCGGCTCATCCAGTAGTAGAATAGATGGCGAAAAAATCAACTCAAGAGCTATGGATAGCCTTCGTTTCTGACCACCACTTAAGACAGAAACCATAGTTTTAGCGCAATTTCCTAAATGCAAGTCATCGATGAGTTTCTGAACTCGCATTTCGTGATAATATTTATCATTCAATAGTTTGAGTCTTATATTCTCGTCCGGGAATGAAACCACACAATGAGTGTCTTCATCGGTGGTCACCACAGGATTCTTATCTCTGGTTCTTTTGCGACAATTCTTGAGTTGTGAGGCATAGAGTAAAGACTCTTCGACTGTCAACTGACCCGTCAGAGCATCTCTTTGTGAATAATAAGCCATTTTTATTTGCGGCTTAAGTCTAATCATATATAGATTGCCAAAAAAGATATATCAGAAAATTAAATTCAATAATATGTTGTATGAATATTAATTTATAAGAAGAATTTTATAGTGAAAACAACTTTGTTGTTTTTAATTAATTTTACGTTCTCGATAAAAATAATATAGACCTACTAAATTGGTTTACTCAGAAAGTTGAGAAGAAAATTATACTGTCATGTCATGACAAATCGTGATAATGTCAGTAAACTTTTCTTCTCAACTTTCTGAGTAAAGCAATTTAGTACCCAGATATATTTTCCTTATCAAAATTACTTTAAAGACTCTTATAGATACTATACTATAAAAAGTGGTTTTATTTATAAAAGAGTAGCTATAAAAAAATATAACACATAATATAATTAATTTATGATAGTTTAGCATAAAATTGATTACACAGTACACCTAGAAACGAATAAAGTGAGATTCTGTCTAAATGATAATAATTTTGACATTACCCAGTAAAAATATGTTAATTAAAATAAAATATGAGAATAGTAAATTAATTTTCAAGCTTCATGTGTATGACTGTCTAAACTAAAAAACATTTCCAACAAAACTATAAAAAATAATTTCAATATAAAACAAACCCATAATAATTGGCGAATATTTTGCCCGAAACTCCTCTCTTCCTTCTGGCGGCCAAACACTCGATGAGTGTCGTCTTCCCGGCACCGCTCGGACCCATAATTGCGGTCAACTGTCCGCTCACAACACTTCCCGTTAAGTTCTTTATTAATTGTCGGCTTTGAGTGCCATTCCCTCTGTTCACACATTTGGTCAGAGGGTTCCTGTTGTCTGTGTTTATAGAATACGAGAGACTATTCCAAATCAATTCAATCCTTGGAGTCGACGACTGTTTCGTTGGCGTCGAGTAACTTGAGATCACTTTCTCGCTGTTATTGTTGATAATATACTCGCCGTCGAAGTCGTTCATAATCATCGGTTCCTTGCATTCAATCATTTTTAAAAGTTTTTTTATACTTTTAATATATTTTTACAGTTATTCTAAACTTTTTTTACACTCAGTTTGTAGTACTTTGTACAAAGATAGCACAATAAATAATACAATGAATATAGAGTTGCAAATCCTGTTACGGGTAGAAAATAATAGTTTAGGATTTGAAATGAAAAAATTTTGGTGAATAACTAATGATTGTACGAAATGTCCTTCAGATTCGGGCACAATTGATGTAATGTCCAACCAAGCGGTCACACATGGATCCAAATGAGCTCACAGTTAGACTATAGAGAGTATGGATAGAGGGGTTGTCATAAGCACAGAGTTTATTGTGGCACTGGTTTGGGATTCAGTGACTGTTTCCTTATCTCAGGAGTGAATTGCAATTCAAGGTAATCGTGTTTCTGCTCATTCACTGCTATTTTCAGTGCTTTCGCTGTATTTATAAAGTGATGCCAATCCTGTCTGCAAACACTCTTTCGCTCTTCACTTATACAATGCTTTCTCATCCAATGGCTGGCAATTGGTCTTCACTCATGAGCTCACAAAACAATTAACTGATATTACACTCAATTATTTTAAATATGTTTATACAAAGTATGAACTTTTTTCTATTAAATACGGCATACAAACTGAATACTAACTAAACATCATTTTCAATCAGTAATACTGAATTCGTGTGAAGCTGTG